CAAATTTTGTGCACCAGGCCTCTAGTTGGCTAGATTAAAAACCAGGATGGTATTTACCAGCTGCGAGAGGAATTGGGGAAGTATCCTAACTCTCTGCTCCATGATTAAATGTCAGGTTAAAAGAAGAAATGCCAGTTCTTACAGACGGCAGCTTGCAGTTTCAGTGTGAGAAAAGCTCTTCATTTTGAAGTCTGGGCTCTAGAATGTGCCTGCTCTACCTCTTGCTCCTGGGCAGTGTCTGGAGCACTGGCACTAGCTTTACCGGCCTCCTAGGGTCCTGGAGGAGCATTGTTTGGGGAGGTTAATCAAAGCCAGTTTGTGTGTGAGTGTGCGTGTGTGTCAGGCGCAGTGAGGCCTTGCTACATAAAACAGTATACCTTATTACTACATTTACTTTATAGGACTTGAAAATATTCTGTAAGTTCTGGTTATTTGAGGGCTTCTTGGAATCAGGATTTTTATCTAGTCTGTGATCACCTCTGCAAGTTCCTAAAATATGGCTCGCTGGACCTACTTCCCAGGTGTTGCTCTGCTTCTTCCAACCACGAGGAACCCTTAATCTGAAAAGATACAAATTCTGTGTAGTATAGTCATTTATATTATCTCAAAAATACTCTTTTTTTCTTCATAGCATTTATTTAGTTTCCTATGTATCACTTACCCTAATTTTGTAAGCCAGTCAGATTTCTTTTGGGGTATGTATAGGTAGGTGGGCATACACTAATTTTAGGGCACGGTATGAAAATAGTATTTGCATTACTGTTTAATGTTTTTTCCTTTTTTTTATTAGGCAAGAAAAAGTCATATTTCCCACGTTGTTCATGGGTAACTGAATTTGTTTGCTGTGCTATTTTTTATTCTTTTTCAATCATGATGTGTGGTGGGAGACCCATTAACAAACTGTTTTCACTAACTGCATGGGGCTGACTCTGCTTTAACCAACTTACAGCCCATAAGTGAGCCTTCAAATTCCTGTTTGACTCACCTGTATACCATTATTGGTTCAGCTGTGCAAAACCAAACTGATGAGTTGTAGTGGTGCTGGGGCAGTTGTGAATAGCAGGCACTCGCTGTGTGGTCAGGTGCTGAGAGATGATGCAGGACTCGAGTGGGGGCCCCGGGTAACTGGCAGGTCCTGGGACCGTATTTGAATGTCTTTGTGGGACTGGGTTCTTCCTGTTACCAGTGTGTCTTGTTTTTTCAAAGCAGGCACTAATGACTACGGAGCCTTGCTGGGGGGACTCTCCCCTCTGAGAAACATTGGAATGATAGATGGAGACGTGTATAAGATCTGCCTTTCTTCTCAGTTTTCAGGAAGGCACATTTCAGTTTGTAGGGCCTGGGGCAAGGTCGGGAGCTGGCTGAGCTGCGCGGCTCCCATGGACCATCTCACTAGGAAGACGGGTCTGGAGTGTGTCTGCTGCCTCCTGCCTGAGCGCTGGCCCACTCTCAGGCCTTTCTCTCCCGCCCTCTCAGGTGTCCTCCACTTGCTGCTTTGATGGATTTAGTGTCCATACGTCATCACTGTTGTGTTCTATTTATTGTCCTCCTGACTAGCTTATAAAGGTGCCCTTTTTACTTCCATTGCCATTTTACAACTCACCTTAGTTTCTTTTCTCAGCTGGAGTCTCTATTTTTCAGACTCTTTAACTAGATTTTGGTGGTAAGGCCATGAGACTTCATAGCTTCTGTAACCTGTTCACATAGATAATTCCCAAGATCTGTGTCCCCACCCCTGCCTGCTCTCTTTTCGTTCATTTCTGTGGTGTCCACTGGGACATTTCCTTTCAGCTCTTTTGCTGCTTCCTGAAACCAAATGTGAATATGGAGGTTTCTTTCCCCATTTCACAGCTTTGCAATTTCCTGAAGGTGCCTCACCAGACACAATCCTATCTGTAGGGTCAACTGTCTCCCTCTGGTCTTCTGCGTCCCACTTTTTGGCTCAGGAAAGAAGTGCTAGGTGAGGCCCTTGTTATTCTCTCTCTATTCTGTCCAACTTGCAAATCAGAATTTCCATTCCCATTCATACTGAGAACGACTCACCTAGCTTCTTGTCCTTTTGTATTCTGATCGCACTGCTTCTTTTTCCCACTAGAGCTGACTTGGGTTGGGAGCACCAAAGTGGTTGCTCACTGAGGGCTGTCAGGTCTCCTCTGGCCAGGAGGATGCTGGGAAAGGAGAATGGCCTGGACATCTGGAGGCAAGTTATGAGCCCTGCTTCCCCATTGATGGGCTCGTAGGTGAGCTCAGGTGAATGGCTGGACCTTCTCCTGCTTTGGTTTTTTGAGCAATAACAACAATGGGGATGGACTTTATGTTCTTTAAAAATCTGTCTAATTTGAAAATGCCAAATCTCAGTCCTAAGCCTGCACGTGGAGCCATCCTATGGTTGCTGCTTTTGCACACCCCTGTGGAGCAGGTGCCAGGTTCTTCCTGGCACCCAAAGTGCTCCCTTTCTGCTGGTTTTGGGGGTGTCTGTAGTACAGCCTGCAGAATGTGGTGTTCACCTGTGTAAAGCTGAGGTTTGTGAGGCCTGCCTGGTTCTCCTTGGGCTTTGAGGAGAGGCGGGCATTGGTTGGTCTGGGACTAGTCAGACAAGTGACAGCTGGGCTTATTATGTGAGGGCTGCAGTGGCATATAGGATGGGGCCCCTGCCCCCGGAGGAGGCACAGGTGGATAGCCTTGGGAGAGTGGGAGGGATGATTTCAAGTTTTCACATACGACGAGACTCAAATATCAGGCCTCCCCTAGCCCTAAACAGAACACGGGTGTACAGCAGGGAGAAATGACATGTAGAGCCCTGTGGCTCTGTGTGGGTAGCTTGACTTCAAACTTGAAGTCTGGACTCTGAGGTTATTTCTTCAGGCATTAACTGTTTCTTCAGAGTAGCATGGGGTCATTTAGTCAAGTCTCTTTTGCATGCCTGTTTCTCTGAGATTACACTCACCTCTTCAGTGTATGTAGCACTTATCTTTGTGGGGAATGTGAAGAATGAGTCTATACTCAACTCCCTAAACCCCTCTGATGAGTGGATGGCGGGGGGCAGTGGTGGGCAAGTGTGGTGAGTGCGGCCTTTTGCAATTCGCTGTATTTCCCAAATTGCTAGTGGGACACTTTCCTGGGAAGTTTTCCAGGATGGAGAGGCTGAAGTGGCTTCCTGAGAGGTTCCAGGCCTCGCACTCACCCCTCACTGCTTCCCGCGGCTGTGCTGCCAGATGGGTGGGCTGAGGTGGGCGCTCTGCATCCCTGGGCTCAGGTGCGCGGCCCTCCTTGTAGATCCTGTGCTGGGCTGGTTGCTCATGAGTCTGCAGAGCAGCCTCCCCAGCTGGCTTTGCTTGCTTAACAATGTAAAAAAGTTACTTTCCCCCCTTCATTAAGATATTCATGTATATTGTAGGAGATTTGGAAAACAATAAAGTATAAAGTAGTAAACAAAATTTATCCATAACCCAGAGGGAAGAAAAGTAACTTGTTAAATTTTCTTTCTACAATATATATGATTTTATGTACATATATGTGTGTGTGTGTGTGTGTGTGTGTGTGTGTTTGTGTGGATGTATGTATGTGTGAGTACCTCCACACATTCTAGAATTAGCTACACAGGTAGTAATGCCTATCTATATAAGGGGCTATAGTCTAGAATCTAGAATATATATTACTTACACTTTTTCTTTTTTCTTCACATCATTTAACATATACAGTTTGGTAACCTTTTCCTACTCACCATTAATTACATTCTGAATATTTTCCCATGCTATTAAAGAACTGTGGAAATGGATTTTAAAAATATTTTTATTGATTTCAGAGAGGAAGGGACAGAGAGAGAGAAACATCAATGGTAAGAGAGAATCATTGATCAGCTCCCTCCTGCACGCCCCCTACTTGGGATCAAACTTGCAACCCAGGCATGTGCCCTGACTGGGAATCAAACCATGATCTCCTGGTTCATAGGTTGACACTCAACCACTGAGTCATGCTGGTCGAGCGTGGGGAAATGGATTGTTAATGGTTGTACACTATTTTATCATTTAGTTGTGGCTGCAGTGGCCAGTGTGATGAAGCTGCCCATAGTCTCATTACCGTAGGACCACTGAGTTCTCAAGTCTAACCAACTGATGCTCGAGGCAGCCACTCTTCTCTGGGCCGTCGGGATTCTGCTATGGGCCGGGAAGAGGGATAGTTGTAGAGAGCAAATGAATTTGTTGCTGTGTGTCAAGTGGTTTTAAATGACAGTCTCTCTTTTTCTTCCCCTTCCCTTCTCTGCTCTGTCACCCCCACAGGGCAGTAAACGGCTTTGACCCAGCTCCTCCTCCTCCTGGTCTGGGCTCCTCGCGCCCCTCGTCGGCACCAGGTATGCTGCCTCTCAGTGTGTGAGTGCCCAGCTTCCAAATGGGGGCTCCTGCCCTCCTCCAGCAACCCAGGACACCCACGCCTCACCCTTCGGTGCCTGGGCCCAGCCCGTGGCTCTGTCTGCCTCCCTAGGGCTGGCAGAGAGAGGGCAGGCTGCATGCAGTGGTGGCTGCTGGGCCCTGCCCAGCCCCAGGACTGCGCGATATCAATACTGGCTATTTTCTCTTCTCGCCGTAGTGCCGTTGGTTTCACATGATTGCACTTTTGTGGGTCACAAAGTGATACGTACATGTATTACTTGGTCACTGGATGCAGAAGTACCCATTCATCATACCTGCCTCATAGCCCACCCTGCTGTACTGATAGGATTTAGTTGTATTTAGGACATTGCAAATCTTTTAGACGTTCTCTCCCAAATCAGGTCAACGTGTGCCCTCCTGAGCTCCCACCCAAGCACCTTTGTGCTCATGATCATGTGTTTGTCCCCAGCTCCACCCCACACAGCTGGGCCTGTTGCTGGCAGACAGTCAGGAAGGTCACTGAATTAGGGAACAGTCTCATTACCCTAGGACCACTGAGTTCTCCAGTCTCATTACTGCGCCTTGTGATTTTACTTCAGCAGTTAGCATTCCACAGCTTGGCCTCCCAGAGCAGGAGCCTGTGGGGCCTGGGACAGACAGCTGGGCCTCTGCTGTCTTCTCCTCCGTGTGCCTCAGACGAGGGGTGGAGGTGGTGGCAGCGCCTACCAGCTTTCTGGTCCTTCAGTTAAATGACAGCTTCACAGCTTTTTGGTTTTGTTCTGCGGGCCTCTCCAGTTGTGTTAGGAAGGACTGAGTGGCCTGATGCCGGGGGCTGGCTGGTGCCAGCTCCTGGGGGGCAGACTGACCCCAAGTGGTTGTCCCTGTGCATCCTTTGATTACTCTCATGCTGCATTTACTGTTTACATTTGTTTTTTTGTACATAGGTTTGTAAACATTATTGCCCAAGATATTTGTAAATAACTTGGGCTTTGTAGCTTTTATTTATTCAGAACTCATACGGCATGTTAATGACTTACGATGGTGTCCTACTCTGGGCAACTGTATAGAATCATCATGTGGTTAAAAAAAAAAAAGAGAAAGTACTTCCCCTCCAACAAATCTTTTAATGTGGAAACAATAAATTTCACACAAAAAAGTATCAAGGTTGCGTTATTGGGTTCCCGCCATCCTGTGGGAGAAGAGCTGGAGTTACACAGCCAGGTTCCGATGTCGCTTCTGCTCCGACCTGGGACGTGTGGGTGGACAGCAGCGCGGAGTGGGCGAAGGCAGTTCAGCAGCCTCCGGAGAAGTCTGATGCACGAGCAGGTGTGCTCAGGCCGGTCCTCGTAGCTGAGTCTCCGGGGGGCAGCCTGAGATGGCCCTGCGCCTCATGCAAACCTGGAGGGAGGACCCGGACCTTGAGGGAGGCCACTGGCAAGGTCACAGGGTAACTGCGATGGAGCCAGGCGCTGGCCTTTCTCTGTGCTGCCTGTCATGATGTGTGTGGTGTCCTGGGAGTAGAGGTTACTCGGGCCTGGGCTTTTCTCCTTATCCCTCAGGTTGATGTTGGCAAGTGAGAGGAGGTGCCCGATGTTTGCAAGACATAGGTGACTGGACTTGAGAAATGTACAGACATAGGAGTCAGTACGAATGTGTCACGTTCTGAACATTGCTTATAACAGAGCAAAACCAGGATAGTGTGTAGTTTTAAAACTAAATAAGTGAAAAGTAAGTGAATCAAGTTCCTAAGGGAATACTGAACTTTAAGGAGGATACATTAAAAACTTTCTTCTGTCTGCTAATATGTGGGCAGGAATACTTCTGTTAGTTGTTCCTGGAGGTTTTGCTGTGAGCTGCCTCCCGAGAGATGTTTCCAGGGGGGGGTGTGCTGTGCCCAGTTGAGCCGTGGAGCAGGCCAGCAGAGAACTTCAGGCCTCTTTCTGATGGGCGGCAACTCGCAGCTTCTTTCCCTATCATTGAAGCGATTGGATTAGAACAGAAGCTGAAAACGTTTAGCCAGACCTTTGTTAATGCAGGGACCCCAGATCTAACACATAAGAGCAGAGCTACTCTGGTGAAAGCAGCGATGAGTTCTGGAGCCCTGAGTCGTCGTCCCTGGCTCCCAGTGATTTCCCGGTTCCTTCTTAGCTGAGCACCCCTGGAATCGTCTCATCCCGATGGTCTGTCAGTTCAGTCAGGTGGTGGCAGGGGAGGCCCTGGCTGCAGAGGCCAGTGTCATCCCCGGACGTCATCTCTGCTTCGGGTCCAGGAGAGCAAGGGCCAGGCGCGTGAAAGGGCAGGAGCACGCTGCTGGGCTTTATAGCAACAGCTGCCCTCGGCGTATGACCCATGGGGAAGCTGGATGACTCCCCTGGCCTCAGTTTCAGGTGTTTGGACGATTTGGTTAAATGCTCAGCTAGAACATTTGCTGCTGACACGAAAGCTACCACATTCTGTCTGCTCTTCTAGCTAAAGATTGCCTAGCAGGCTCCTGCCTCTGAGTGGGTTCTCTTCCTGGGGCCGCCCCATGCCTAGGTCTGCCTGGCCCTCGCTGAAACTTTTAGGAGTGATCCCTCCCCTGAGCTGGGTCCACAGGTGGTCCCCCTGCTTGGAGGGGGTGAATCTTCAGGTGGTGAGTCCTCTTGCCTCCAGATACTGTTCTCTCACCACCTGGTCCCATCCCTTGCTCCTGAAATGCATGAGAGTAGGAGTGAGTGCTTCACTGCCTTTCAACTCAGAGTGGTAGGAACTATGCCCAACCAACTCTGCTGAGGTCTGAAGCCAAAGCTGGGTATATGAGAGTTAGGTATAGGCAGCCTGAGAGGAGATGAGCTGGCTTACCTGTTAATAGAAGGGAAGGTGGGCCCGGAGTGTTGGTGACTGGCCTGAACTCACACAGCTAGTTCCCAGACTTGAGGCCTCATTGCCCTGACTCTGTCTTGTGCCTCAGGAGATGAGCTGCTGTGGATGCTGGGAACTAGTTCCCAGACTTGAGGCCTCGTTGCCCTGACTCTGTTGTGCCTCAGGAGATGAGCTGCTGTGGATGCTGGGAAATGTGTGGGGCAGGCACAGCCTTTGCAGCAGGAGGAATGTGATGCACCCCCCTCCACTTCCAATCCTGTACTTGAGTATTGACTGTGCTGCTCTCAGCAGCTGTTGCAGAAGGGCCGTTAGCATCTCTGAGAGCCAAGGTGGGAATGGTGCCTCTGGGGCAGGGGAGGTGTCCTGGGGTGGAGCCTCAGCTTTAGGGAGCATCTTGCTAGCAGCGGTTCTCAACCTGTGGGTCGCGACCCCTTTGGGGGTTGAACGACCCTTTCACAGGGGTCGCCTAAGACCATCGGAAAACACATATATAATTACATACTGTTTTTGTGATTAATCACTATGCTTTAATTATGTTCAATTTGTAACAATGAAATTGGGGGTCACCACAACCTGAGGAACTGTATTTAGGGTCGCGGCATTAGGAAGGTTGAGAACCACTGTGCTAAAGCCACATCGTCCTGCCTGGCCAGCACAAACAGCCAGTTCGGCTGCTGGTGGGACCGAGCCCAGAAAGGGGATGGGTCCAAGCAGTCAGTTTTCTGTTTGCCTAGATTAGAAGATGCTAGAGGAGCCTTTTCCTCCTTCCAGTATTTACTTCAAGGATTTTTCTCTCTACTTTTGCCCCAAAGGTTGAAACAAATTGAGAAACGCTAGCTTGGCCTTCAAAATTTAGCTGTTACTTGAATCATTCTTAAAAATGGGAGTAGGGGAGGAGGCATCTTTGTAAATCTTCCTATGACTTAAAGCATCTTATCTGAAAACTGATCCTATGACTAAAAATAGGACCTATGGGAATACAGTCGTCTTTTTTATTTATTTATTATTATTTTTTAAATATATTTTATTGATTTTTTTACAGAGAGGAAGGTAGAGGGATAGTTAGAAACATCGATGAGAGAGAAACATGGATCAGCTGCACGCCCCCTGCTGGGGATGTGTCCGCAGCCAAGGTACATGCCCTTGACTGGAATCGAACCTGGGACCCTTGAGTCCGCAGGCCGCCGCTCTATCCACTGAGCCAAACCGGTTAGGGCTACAGTCACCTTTTTTAAATGTTAAGGAAAAACAATAATCTGGAGTAAATATTAGTTTAACAGACTCCCTTGATAAGATAGCACATGTGAAGAGGCAAATGTGAGAACAGAGCAAAGCGTAGAGTGCTGGTTGGGGGACCAGGTGGGTTTGTCCATGTGGGTTATGGTTTGCAATTATGTTAGTTGCCTGTCAGCTCTGAAGCCTTCACCAAGCGAAACGCGATGCAAACTGAATAGGAATTTAGCTTGTTTACTTTTGGGGAGTTTGTAATCAGGTGTCAGTTTGACTAGTGCCCATTAAAATGCGGAGGTCCTGCCTGGTTGTGGGTGCTGGTGGAGGTCTGGAGGGTGCCGGGCAAGCAGGCCTGGCACAGTTTGGATAAACAGTCAGATGAGTGTCATCCAAATGAGCTAGGGCCCTGTTGCTCCCTGTCGGTTCATGGTGGGACTGAGAAACACTGTTTTTTCTGGTTAAAAAGGTGATTGTTTTAACTAGGAAAAAATCCCAGCGAATCCCACTGTCATCTAGACTTTAGGGCATACACCTCTGCATTTTTGGTGTCACTAAATTATTTTCTGTAAGTCTTGAGTCTTACATAAGCTATACAAGCTCTTTCTACTTTAGGGATAACATCTCATGGTAGTAAGAACAAGTAGAGTCCATCTCAGTAGTGGGAGTGGAAGTGTCTGATGGGGAACGGCCAGGAGGACTGTCAGCTGTGCAGGATTCCATAGAAACCCGAGTGTGCAGACGCGCAGCACGTAGGAACGGAAACCACCAGCGGGAAATGGACACAAACTAAATGAACATATTAATTACAGCTTTAAAAAGTCAGAAGTGAAATTAAAAATGCAAACAGTTTACTAATTGAGGCTTCTAATTTTTTTGGTAAAGTTGCCCAAATTCATTTTTTAAAAATTGAAGTAATGAGACTGATTTTCTTTCATTACCCAATTGGCCTGAAGACCTGTGCTAAGTTCTGAGATTTGAGCAAGTAGCTCAGAGCAGAGGCTCCCTGGCTGCTGGGTGACCAGTGAGTGGATTTTAAAACGGATTCCCCCAGGCTCCACCCCAGCGCTAGCCCCGGGAGGAGCGCACATTAGTTCACAGAATCTCAAACCAGCAATTATGAGCACCTTATTTTGTGAACCGTTAAGAAAAATGTGCCAGTAGAACTTTGAAAATGCTTATCATTTTGACTTTTTACATTTATTGAGAATTCTTTAAGCTTTGAGACAGGTTTTCATCACATCACACTTCATATACAAAAAGGAAACTGAGACATGGCTAAGACTTCACGTTGTGAACCACGTCTGACGAGTTGTCCTTGCAGTTTTCCAAGCAGTGTTGTCCTCTGGGTCCCGGTGAGCGCTGGTGATGCAGTGTTTCTGAAAAGATGTTCTGTCGATGGCTCCAGAATTTTCTTGAAGGCTGCTGGTATCCGTTCTGCAGGATCTGATGCTTGGGGTTTATTGACCTTCCTCTGACAGCCACATCACAGCTGCCACCTACTGGTGGCACTTGTGAGACGCACGAGTTCACATGTGAGAACACGGGTGTCTTAGGGCCTCTGCGGGATGGCCTTTTGCAGGAGGCAGTGGCTCTGCTTGGATGCTTGTCAGACTCGAGTTTAGTAGATGCCACTTACATCTTGAATGAGGCTTCATGACATCCTGTCAGTGGGGATGAAGTCCATTATTGGGGCGCTACTTGGAAAAAACAAATAGACCTGTGTTGTAATGAGTCACACATGAAATTCTAGTCTTGGGAAGGGTTGAAGGACATGGTCACACTTCCGTGTGTGGTACACAGGTACTGGAATTATAGTTAACATTGTCTTTGAAAGCTGGCATCATGCCCATATACCCTTATTGATAGTTTCGCATTAGATTTCTGTCAATTGTATGAGACACGTCACAAGATTTGCTAGATTCCCAAACGCTACGAGGCTCCACTAGGGAGTGGGCGCCCCATCTGGTCCTGACAGCTGGCACAGGGTACAGCACTCTAGCGGGTGCTCAGAACTTGGTACAGATGTGAGTTCCCAGTGACTAGAACCGATGGTGCATGGGGACTCCCTTTGGGTCTCAGTCACAGGCTTCCCTCTCAGACCTGCCTGGAACTTTCTAGATCCCAGCCTACGGCCTGTTCCTGCATGGGCTTTCTAAGGGGGTGAGGATGAGACAGGAAGTGGTGGTTGACAGCTTTGAGCTCTTTCTTCTCCAGGCTTGACACAGAGCATTGGTTTCAGGAGGCAGGGGCCATGGGTCAGTCCTGCCCAGAGCCACAGGGGGCTGCCTGTGAGGGGACGCCACAACTTGTCTTCAGGCTCACACGTCATCTTAGCGGCGGTTTCCAGGAATGGGGAACTGGTGACAGGAAGGAAAGGTGACATCAGTTACACCCTCAGGCCAGTCCCACTAGGACTATAGGTGTGCTATTCCTACTGACGCGGTTTAAAATAATTCCCGAGTGGATGCATTAAAAAAGAAAGCCTAGGATGTGGCAAGGGCAGACAGCGTGAAGAGCTGCATGTTAAAACCCCCGCCTCTTCTCAGCAAAAGGACAGGCTTTCCCAAGTCTTGTCTGGTCTCTTCCTCACGATGAACCACTCTCCTGGGTGGCAGCTGGCCAGCAGCTTTAGTCTTTGACACAAAGCCCAGCTCCCATGAACTGTCTTCCTTGTGCTGTCAGTGCCCGGCAAAGGTTTTATGAACTACCTTTCCTGAGACTACGCAGCGGTGGCTTGTTTAGTAAGGAAAGGTTCCTTATGGCTGGCATCTCTGAAGGCAGGAACTGGAGTCAGTCTGTGGAGATTGAGTTTCTCCCGATAGCTGAGTAGTCAGAAACAGTGACTACACCAGCCACACCAGCCAGGTGGGAAGCATTCCTTCTGAGGAAAACCAGCCTCTGAATTCCACACGCACCTGGACTAAACTAAGGTAGCTGAATGCCAGGGTGGACACACGAAACGTGGTAACTCACCTTTTTTCTCCCTTGGTAGTGACACGGGAGGAAAGGAGTACGTCTGTCCATTTTTTACATTCCCTGCCAGGAAGCCTGGATATGTGCCGTATGCCCCCAGGGCCAGCCTGAACTATGAATATTAGGGAATAATAATAAAAAAGCCAGCATTTCCTACGTGATTTTGTGATCCCTTAGTTACTCCTCTCCAGCCCATCCTAATTGACCCACACTAGTGAGGCTGCCCTTGGGTCTTATTACTGAATCCCTCCCTCCCCCCCAATTATTTTTAGTGTGAATACTGCTTGAAAATGCAGCCTGAACCTTGGATTTCTTAAAATACTCCAGTCCAGCAAACAGCTCCATCAGCTGGTGACCGAAACCCTCCAACGGCTTCATCCTCAGCCCTTTTCTATTGGCTTCATCCTCAGCCCTTTTCTATTAGCGAGCGGGTCGCCAGCCCAGGGCCCTTTCCTCCCCAATGCAGCTACACACAGAGGCCACTGGGCAGGATGCGACTTGTAGCCGACTGCCCAGAGAACTAGCCTGTCACCTGACACTTGGGAGCACAGCGCCCTCAGAAAAAGTGGGCCTTTTAAGTCTGTGGGACTCTCAGTTGCCAATCAGATCACAGATGGGAAATCGAGAACAGAAGGTAAGAAAACAGATTCCACATTCACATGATTATTCTCATTTATTGAGGTCTGTTTATTCTTAATGGGTGCTTTTTCCTCCAAGTAAATAGAGCAGGCGTAAATATCTATAATGAATAAATTTATTGTCTTACAAAAATCATTGTCTAGAAATATGGGAATACAAGAAAAGATATTTGCAGTCAGGTGTCTGGTGGTCAACAGCCAGTACAGTTCATAACGGGGTAAAATCAAAGGTTCCAAACCCACATGACAAGTTCTTCCTAAAGATGTTAAAGCTTTTAACCCAAAAGGTTTGTGTTTTCAAGCACATTGCAGAGGATCAGGGATTTGTACTTAACACTGATTCATTGTCACTGAATGTTGGTAATACCACTTTGACTAGAGAGGTACATGATATGAAGCACAGTCAAAACTTAATACATTAAATTGTTACAGAGGCAAATAATATATTTAACATTGTCTTAGTGCTGTAGTGTCTAAGGCACTTTCTGTAATGTCAGTTTGCTTACCTATCAACCAAAAACAGAATGTTAAATGTTCACTGTTAACACTGTCCAGAGGGGAGGGAACGGGAAAATGAAAAGGGATTCACATCCACTGGCATGTCAACATTCAGGCAGATGGCATCTGTTCTTGAGGGTCGGTAACCTCATCAACAAACTTGGAACAAGTCTTGGACACAAAACCAATGTTCCCATTTTGGGCTCAAAGCAGCGGCTGAATTTGTAAGGTCAACACAGGGGCCTGGCTGGCAAGGGAGGGCCTCCCACTGACTCCTGCTTAGGCGCCCACAGCTCTTGTTCCTGAAGCGAGGTGCACACTGGCAGAGCCAGGGGTTCAGGAGACCATCCGGGCGTCGACGTGATTGCTGCCACTGGGGCTTCAGCGGCATGGCGGCTCCTATCCTTTCTATGCACAGACCAGCCCTGGCCAAGGACAGTTCACACGAAGAGACGAGGGGATACCACCAACTCGAGCGAGACGGCATGGTAATCCCCAATGAATGCTGCTTCCCCAATCCATCCCACCCCTCCTAATCTTTCCAAAAAGCCCCTTTCACAGTTTGCTCGCTGAAATAGTGTTGATCGTTATTTGAAGGAAATGAGAGACAAGTGCAGTTTAGGTTCCACAATGTTCTAAGAGAATTGATGTGGCTGAGGAGTCGGGGGCCACATGAACACAGCTAAGTTACCTGTCTGTATGACAGAGAGCATGCAGAGCGACCGAGCAACAACCACGGGGCTGCCCCAATACCCAGCGACTGGCAACAAGGGTCTGGAGTTTGTTTGAAAAAGGATTCTCTTCTTAACATGTATTATAAAATGGTCTCTTGATGAATATATGGAAAATAGATGCAATGATGAGACAGTCTGTTTAATATGTGCATGTTTTGTGTATGTATATATATAAAAAGGGGAGCAATTGTACCTAAATCTGAAGCAGGATACAGTATGTGTAGGCTGGAAAGCCTTAAGACACAGTTGATCTTGCAGTAAGGAGTCCCGTGGCTTGCCAACTTCCTAACTGTAGGAGGCCCGAGGCAGGCTGGTGCCGGGTGCGTTCCTTCGTGTCCTGCTGTATTGCCTCCACTGGCTTCCGGTGACCCTACTCCGACTGGGGTGGCTGTGTCTCATTGACATCACTGGTCTTGCTTTCGGTGTCATCGTCTGACAGCTCCAGGGAAGCCCCTTCGATGTGCAGCTGGCGCCGGCCAGATCGGCTCGAAGAGAAGCTAATTGGGCCGCCTCGCCTGGCAAGAATAGGAAGTAGACACATGGGTAAACACGCAAGAACATGTGGCAGTCAAGTTGTCCAGTCACCAAACTTCCACCCCTTCCTCAGGACACACCACCTGGGGGGGTGAGTGGCACGATCAGGACAGGCTCTGGGCCTTCCACCTCTGCTGTCACCACGCCTGACTGCCATCCTGGCCAGCACAAGCGTGCACTGGGCAGGAGGTCCTCAGTGTACCTGATCCAGTTATGGCTGGCTGTGCTTGCTAACCAAGGGTATTTCCATAAAGGGCACATAACGGAAGGGAGGGGGAGAGACACAGAAACACTGATGTGAGAGAAACAGCCTCCCACACGAGCCCCGGCCGGAGCCAAGGATCGAACCTATAACCCAGGTATGTGCCCTTGACCGGGAATCGAACCTGCAACCCTTTGGTGCTTGAGCCAACGTTCTAACCACCCAGGGCAGATAGTAAATATTTTACTTAGGCTGTGTGGGCCATATCAGGTCTCTGTTGCATGTAAAAACCATTCTTGGCTCACTGCTGGACAACAGCAGGGCACATCAGAGTTTGGCCATGGGCCAGCCTGTCAGCTTCTGTGCCAGCCTGCTCCTCTGGGGGAGGAAGTTCAGTGCTCATGTTCGGGCCTCTCCGTGGTGGGGGTGAGGACGGGGAGGGGCTGATGGTGCCAGGTCCTGGGAGAAGAGGCTGGGACCTTTCCTCACATGGATGTTGGGACATGGATGGATGCGACCTGGTCCCAGCTTGGTGTGTCTGTGTCTGTGTGTGTGTGTGTGTGTGTGTGTATGTGCCGTGAATGGCTCTGTGGTGTGTGTGTGTGGTATGTCTGTGTGTGTGTGTCTGTGTGTGTGTGTGTGTGTGTCTGTGTATGTGTATGTGCTGTGAATGGCTCTGTGGTGTGTGGTGTGTGTGGTATGTCTCTCTGTGTGTGTGTGTGTGTGTGTGTGTGTGTGTGTCTGTGTATGTGTATGTGCTGTGAATGGCTCTGTGGTGTGTGGTGTGTGTGGTATGTCTCTCTGTGTGTGTGTGTGTGTGTGTGTGTGTGTGTGTCTGTGTATGTGCTGTGAACGGCTCTGTGGTGTGTGGTGTGTGTGGTATGTCTCTCTGTGTGTGTGTGTGTGTGTGTGTGTGTGCCGTGGCTTGCCAACTTCCTAACTGTAGGAGGCCCGAGGCAGGCTGGTGCCGGGTGCGTTCCTTCGTGTCCTGCTGTATTGCCTCCACTGGCTTCCGGTGACCCTACTCCGACTGGGGTGGCTGTGTCTCATTGACATCACTGGTCTTGCTTTCGGTGTCATCGTCTGACAGCTCCAGGGAAGCCCCTTCGATGTGCAGCTGGCGCCGGCCAGATCGGCTCGAAGAGAAGCTAATTGGGCCGCCTCGCCTGGCAAGAATAGGAAGTAGACACATGGGTAAACACGCAAGAACATGTGGCAGTCAAGTTGTCCAGTCACCAAACTTCCACCCCTTCCTCAGGACACACCACCTGGGGGGGTGAGTGGCACGATCAGGACAGGCTCTGGGCCTTCCACCTCTGCTGTCACCACGCCTGACTGCCATCCTGGCCAGCACAAGCGTGCACTGGGCAGGAGGTCCTCAGTGTACCTGATCCAGTTATGGCTGGCTGTGCTTGCTAACCAAGGGTATTTCCATAAAGGGCACATAACGGAAGGGAGGGGGAGAGACACAGAAACACTGATGTGAGAGAAACAGCCTCCCACACGAGCCCCGGCCGGAGCCAAGGATCGAACCTATAACCCAGGTATGTGCCCTTGACCGGGAATCGAACCTGCAACCCTTTGGTGCTTGAGCCAACGTTCTAACCACCCAGGGCAGATAGTAAATATTTTACTTAGGCTGTGTGGGCCATATCAGGTCTCTGTTGCATGTAAAAACCATTCTTGGCTCACTGCTGGACAACAGCAGGGCACATCAGAGTTTGGCCATGGGCCAGCCTGTCAGCTTCTGTGCCAGCCTGCTCCTCTGGGGGAGGAAGTTCAGTGCTCATGTTCGGGCCTCTCCGTGGTGGGGGTGAGGACGGGGAGGGGCTGATGGTGCCAGGTCCTGGGAGAAGAGGCTGGGACCTTTCCTCACATGGATGTTGGGACATGGATGGATGCGACCTGGTCCCAGCTTGGTGTGTCTGTGTCTGTGTGTGTGTGTGTGGGTGGGGTGGGGGGGGGGGGTTGTTGTTCCTCCTGTTCTCCTTAAGGACTACGAAAGGTCAGAAATCCCGAGTGGATAAACTTAAGAGCAAGAACGAGTAACTCTACATGAACTAAGCAAACCAGAAAAATCAAGCCCCAAGCCTAGAAATCCGGCTGTTTGGGGAGCTTTGGGCACAGACTCCACGAGTCCCCTGGGTCGCTCACCTCAGCCGGTTCTTCAGGGTGCTGACCTCGCGGCTCAGCCCCTCGTTGGCCTCGGTGGCGTCATCCAGTTCCCGCTGGAGTTTACGCCGAGATGCATTGGCACGTGTAGCCTCTTCTTCCGCTTCCTCCAGCTGCCGTTTAAGCTGCTTCATCCTGGCATTGGCCTTCTCCATCTTGGGGAAGTTACATGAATCAAGTCAAACCAAACTGGCGAGTCCAGATACAGTCCCACCGCATCCTGAGTGCCCGCCAGCCACGTGAGTGCGTGTGCTTACAAGGGGGGCTGGTCTCAGGCCTGATCTGCCATTGTCAGCAAAGCCAGTGTGTACAGAGCAAACTACGTGAAAGGAAATCTCTAAAAACTTAAAACCCTATTTTCTCCCCGAGTTTTTAACAGAAAATGAGTGTAGTATCTTCACATAAGGTATTAAACCTATGGGAGAGCCAGCAACGTGAGTCTCCAACCCCAGGAGATGGTACATTCATGTTTATGCCTCCTTTCAATATGGGTGTTTCAAGTTCAAAGCCTCACATGAAGACCTGACATGGTCACGCTCGTGCAGCTCACGCCCACCCAGAACTGCCCCATGCTCTATGCTGAGGGCGGGGGTAAGAAGGAAAGGCGGGGGTGCCTCATGAGCAGGGGAAGAAAAGGGAAGGGGGGTTGGGGCCAAAGGCAGTAGAATCATCTCCATCCACCTCAGCTACCTCGGCTGTTGTCTATGCAGACCTGGCCACAGTCTTATTAGATTCTCCTGATACTTAAAAAAAAATTGCCTGGATGCAGACAAGGAAAACCATTCAGGTCCTGCATGCAGTACATGTTTTCTCTCTGCTTTCTATTCTGCATCCACCCCCCTTCAGCCGACACACAGTGACCGCTAACACTGCCCAGGAACTACTCTAGGCATCTGAGATGCTGGGGAGGGAGACTGACAGCGAGGCAGAGATCACAGCATCGTGCACCTCGCGGAGGAAATCGGCCTCACACTTCAAAGCCCTCAGCGTGCTCTCACCCGCCCCTCCTCTATTTCTGGTGCTGGGGGAGCCCGAGGGGTGGGGACTGAGTCTTAGTTACCTGTGTGTCCCCAGCACCCAGGAGTGCCTGGCAGGAACAGCATGTGTGTGTTAAAATATTAGAATTTAAGAGTTTAAAATAGCATTTAAAAAAAATGTATTTTTATTGATATCAGAGAAGGGGGAGGGGGAGAGAAACATCAATGATGAGAGAATCATTGATTGGCTGCCTCCTGCACAGCCCCTACTGGGGATCGAACCCGCAACCTGGGCATGTGCCCTTGACCGGAATTGAACCCAGGACCCTTCAGTCCACAGGCCAACACTCTATCCACTCAGCCAAACTGGCTAGGGCAGCTTTTTCTTTTATTTGCAAAGAGAGAAACATTGACTTGTTCTACTTATTATGGACTCATCAGTTGTTTTTGTATGTGCTCTGACGAGATCGAACTCGCAACCTTGGTGTATCAGGACGATGCTCTAACCAACTGTGCTAACCCAACCAGGGCCTCAGAGGGCAGGTTCTTAATTTAGTCATCAAATGGTAACACGTGGCTCATTTGCATCGTCTCCTTGTAAAAGCATTTCTAAGATGGAAGACATTTCATCCTGGCCCACCTTCTTCCCTTACCTGTTCTTTATACTGATCTGCATGTCGACGCTCATCTTCAACCTGCATGAAGATTTCTTTCAGTTTCTTCTCCGTTCGTCGGACCAGTTTGTTGGCTGCTGCTCGTTCCCTGTGAAGATGATCAACCATTAATTAGCCTTTGTAATTCTTGACATGATAGTTTGAATTGAGGAAATAATTTTTAAAGTCCCTTTTCTCTGGAAGATGACAAATGTTGGGAGTGTTTTCCAGGGCCTCTCTGACGAGAATAAATTATGATAATACGGCCCAGAAGTTTTTCCCTTCTGGTCACGAGGGTAACGTATTCTAACACTGACAGGTAGATAAAGCGTATTCCTTCACATGCAGGTATTAATTGAGGGATCTCCTAAAGATCAAACGTTCCACGCAAGCTACCTGCCATACGGAGTGCAGACTTTTTGAAGACAAAAACCTTGGTTGGTTATTCTAATCACCTAACTTCTTAGCCTGGAGACCAGAACAAAGACCCATTGTGATGCTCGGGCTATGGCAGCTAATGGGGGAGGGGACCGCCCACACTCACCCTTTAGTTAGAAGGCAAATCACCATGTTTCTAGACAGGCCTACACTGTTCTTTAGGAAGGAGAGCGAGCTTATTGGGTGAACCCCATTGACAACAGTGTGCGGGAGCTCAGAGATGCACTATGTCCAGCAGTAAAGGCGCCTGGGAAATGTGGGCCTCTTGAACCTGTGACTCTTGGTGTATGTTTCTCCTATTAAAGCTCCTATGAGTCTGAATAAGGCCGCGTGTCAGTGCTTCTGAATCGTGTCTGGTCTGAGTCCCGAATTTTAGACTTTTTGACCTTTCCCCCAACAAAAAGAAAAAGTCCATTTGTTCCTGGACAAATGTTATACAGAAATGGACCGTGGTGGAGTTAGCGGAAAGGATTAAACTATGGCACCTAGAAAGTCCTGGGCACAGTCTGACCAGCTGAATCCTGGCAGAGCTGACAGGTGAGCCCAGCCTTCCTGGAGGCTCACACCATCTCTCTCTCTCTCTGATGACATGTGTCCTTGCCACCTCCCCTGCCACAGGGACTCCCTCTAGGGCAAGTGCCTGGCTGCAGGCTGGCCCTGGCCCTGGCCCGCAGAGATGCAGTGAGTTTTGGTTTAGTGCATCAAAAACCTCTTACTTGGCCTCCTGCTCAAGCTGCTCCTCCAGCTGCCCAATCTTGGCTTCCAGGGCCGAGATGGTGGCCTTAAACTTGGACTTGACAGCACCCTCTAGCTCCTGCAGCTTGGCCTTCAGCTCTTTGTTCTGCCGCTCCAGCTGCTGGCGCGCATTGTCGCTCTTCTGGGCAGCACTGCGCTCGGCCGCCAGCTCTGCATTCAGTGTGTCCACCTGGAGAGGAGAGACGGTTTAGTCACTCGTGCCAGACGGGCAGCATGGCCCCTCCCAGGTGACGGGCTGCCGCCTGAGCCACCTGGAGCGTGGTCTTGCGGAAGCGGTCGTTGAGCAGCTCCATGTTGCTCTGCTCCTCCTCCAGCTCCTCCTCGAGCTGTGCGATTCGTGCCTCCAGGCGCCGCTTCTCATCCAGCAGAGCAGACCTGTGGGGCAAGGAGGCGGACAGCTCAACGCCAGCTCCGTGCAGCACGGGCACGCTCAGAGGGCTCCTCCCACCTGGAGGCTACAAACAGCCCCACACGACTTTTCTCTCCCCTGCACCCGTCCGGCATCTGTCAAGTCCTGCTGATCACACTTCCAAACACACTCACTTCTGCCCTGCGCCTGCCCCCTCTAGGCCCCCTCACCTCTCCCAGTGGCCTCCCCACTGCCCCTCCATCTGTTCTCCACAGCCAGCAGCTTTCAAAGGGCAAAAAGACCCTGGCACTTCTGCTTTAAACTCTACTGGTTGCCCAGTGCATTGAGATAAAACGCTAACTCCTCCTCATGGCACGCTAGAAAGTGACCGCGATGAACCCGCAGATGGTAATTAAATAGAGAAAGCAACTTCCTAATTGGAAAAAAAAGATCTTTTAATGAAAACTCATTCAGGAAAAGGTAAGTCAAAGGAATCTACTTGCCAAACCTAATGAATTTAAGAGTGAAGATTGCATTGCAAGGCCGTACAGTCTGCGGAACCGGGTTCATTCTGAATGTACTTCCTCCTCACCTGTGGGCATGACTGGCATAGTGGGACCTGCCTGGGGCGGGCGGCCGCTGTAGCCGAGCCCAGCATCTTGTGCTCGTCTTTCCAGAGTTTGACCAAACGAGCAAACCAACTACTGACCCCTGATTGCCGGACCCCGCCAGGGCCTTCTCGGTGCAGCAGGCCCAGGTGCCAAGAGAACCAGTGGGCCGCCACTCATTTCCAGAGCCTGCTCCTCCCACTGCCGCAGGAGACTCACTTGCCAGAGGCGCTGTTGGCGATCTCATCCGCCAGCTCGTCTCTTTCTTGCTCAGCATGTCGGCGGGCTCGCTCGGACGAGGCAAGTTCCTAAATGAAGTCAGATAGGATTAATTTCTGGCTGTTAATGTTTCGTCAAATGTGAAATCTGACGAAGCCCGCAGGCTGCAGCCACCTTGCTCAGGCATCTGTGTGTGCCTGAAACTGCAATTAGATCTGAGGAATAACTGGAAGGTTTGCTGAGGGAGTATTTGGGTGCAGGTCAGCCAGGTGCTGTACTGTGTCACCATCCGGACACAAAGGTGCCCACAGAGGGAAGGCCTAGTCTCTGTAAGGGCGTGGCTGCCCCAGTGTCAGAGGCGGCCATGTTCCTGCCCTCCTGAGAAAGCTGGTGTTTCTTAATCATGAACTGGGCGAAGCTTTATGCAAACCCAGAACTATGGCAATTCATGGTCGTGAAGTATCTGTTGCACATACAAGGAGTACAGTGTGGAGGTAAAGCACACTAACCAGACAGACCGAAAACAAGGTGCTGGTGCAGCACAGTGAGGAGCACAGCCCCCTGGGAAGGGTGGGGTATGACCTCAGCTCAAGGCAGGGCCTGGGTGGTGCGCAGGGCCTGTTCCTTGAGGAGATGGAAGCCTGGCCGTCAGGCCTCGGAGAACTGGGCAGGGCAAGGGGACGCCGGTGCCTGCCGCCTCTGGAGGAAGAGCTGCCCGATGGCAGCTTTCGCACTTTCCTTGGGGAGCGGATCTCCCCCAGGCAGGTGCCCGTGTGCATTTCTCACCCCCCTGGGGCAAGATCAAGATCATAGTCTCAGAATCTGAGATGCACAGAACCCTTATTTTATGGAGGAAACCGAGGCCGTCGATGAAGGGCCTTGCCCAAAGCCTCAAGGTTGGCCAACAGCAGACACTCAGGGTCCTGACCCTCCCTGCCCAGAGCCGCTTCCCACCAGCTGCCCCTCCACATGGTGCTGTGTTTGGAGGAGCACATCTCAGGATGCCTGTGAGCAGGGCTGCATAAAGAGCTCCTCTGTGCTGTGCACGGGCACCTGGTTTAGTTAGAGCACAGGACGCAGGCCCCCCGAAAGGCCTGGCTCCACACACACAACTAGCACGTGGGGCAGGGCACGAGTCCAGCTGTGACAGCAGCAGGTGGAACGCAGGGCCGGACCCGGAGGCCTCTGTCGAACACACTGCAAGCGCAACTCTGCCATCTGGCCTCTGCAGTCGAGTTTCCTGGGCCCGGCAAGGGCTCCTTCCCGACCACTGGCTGAGTGTGTGACAGACAGGGGAGGGGCCCCGGAGGAAGGGGAGGACCCGAGGGCCTGTAACCTAATGAACAAAGGTGATGGAGGTAAGGAAAAACAGAGAAACAGACGGGAGGACAGGCTAGCTTTCCAGTCGGTCCCCTCCACGAGGTAGTGAGCCCTTGTCTGAAGGTCTAAAGACCTGCAGCTTTGAAGACACAGAGCGCTGGCCTGCAGGGTGTGTGGACACTGAGGCCATGCCAGGCGCTCTCCAGGACACAGGCTCCCAGAGCCCATCACCTCTGGGAACGGCATCACTGGTCAACTACATGATGACGTACATAGATCTTGACATGCTGCTTCAGTGATGAATCCACTTTCTTTTTAAGCACACATGGCCCTAGAGCTGCTCGCCTCTCAGTGTTCTCTAACCATAAAACTAGAAATCAACGAAGAAAAAATAAATGCCATACATTTGGAAATTTAAACCGCACTTTTAAACTATTCATAGGATAGAGAAACCATAGAAATTAGAAAAATTTGGAATTTAAATGACAACAAATAGGAAGGATACAGTGAAAACAGTACCCTGAGGGGAATTTATAGTGTCCTATGAACATATTAGACAAGAGGAAAGCCTGGAAATTGTTGAGTGCCCAACTCAAGAAAAAATCCAAAGGAAATAAAGCTACGAGCAAAAATGAACAGAATAGAAACCAAGAAGGATTAGCCCGGAAGCTGGCTCTCAGGTAACCTCAGGATCTGCTCAGTGTTTACTTACGGATTTTCCTTTCCTTCTACTTTCTGACACCTCGGGAGTTAGCGCCCTTTCTTTCTTGCAAGCTCAACTCCGCATTTATTTGTTCTTGGTAACACTTGTTGGATTACAAGATGATTCACTCAGAAATTCAATGAAACATAACCTCACACATAGTGCTTCTGTGTAAAACAAGGCAATCTTCTATCACTGAGGTCAGAGTTCAGCTACGTGGTCCTGATGCTTGCCAGCACTAAGTACACATCACTCCTGTTTCTTACACAGGAGACAAGACTTGAAAAGCTACTAGTCAGCTCCTCTGCCTTCAGCCAGGTAGAGGGATATACGAACAGCATCAAAGTCTGACCACTTTACTGAACTGAAGTGGTCCAATAAGATGGTCCAGTCACATAGTAAAAATGGACAGAAATTACACACGGCTACAACGACATTAAGATAGTTATCTGATCTCAGAGAATTGCAAGGACAAATATTTGTTGAACAAGTGGATGAATAAGCAAACAAACCTCCTGCAATTGAAGGATTTCCGCTTCTAGACTCTTTAATTTCTTTTCACTCTCTTTGGATTGAGCAAAAATCTCATCCCTGGAGGCACGAGCTTCTTCTAACTCACGCTGGTAATCCTTCATCTGAGCCTAAAGATAAATAGGAAGCAGGTTTGGGCAGTTTTCATTCTTTGTCTTTAAACAGTTTTTTCCAGATTATAAAAGTAATATACATTCATTAAAAAATAAAAGTATATAGAAATGACAAAGATATCACAAGAAAACATTCAGACCAATAGCCCTTATGAGTATATATGCAAAAACCTTCAACAAAATATCCATCAACATATAAAAAAACATACATATAATTTATACACCACTATATCCCACCATCCAACTGAGATATATATGAGCAATGCAAGGTTGGCTTGATAACGAAAAAGAATTCATATAATCATATAATCATCTCAAAATTCAGAAGTAGTACTTGACAAAATCTAACACCCTTTTTCATTATAAAAACAGTAAGCTGAATAGAAAGAAATTTCCTCAACGTTGAGAAAGGCCATCCAATTGTCCCAGAACTATTTGTTAAAAAGACTAGTCTTTCCCTCATTGAATTATTCTATCCCATAGAACTATATGTCATGAAAAAGAAGGACAAAGATGGAGAAGTCACACTTCCAAATTTCAAAATTTACAAAGCTACAGCAATCAAGACTACAGTCTTTGCATAAAGACAGACATATAGATCAAGGGAACAGAATTAATTCAACGAGGGAAAAACTGACAGCTATTATGATAATATGATACTTAATGGTCAAAGACTGAATGCTTTCCACCTAAAAGCAGCAGCAAGACAGGGATATCTGGCCTTGCCACTTCTGTTTAACATCGTAATGGAGAGTCTAGTCAAAGCAGTTAGGCCAAGAAAAAGATACTCAAGACATCCAGATTGGAAAGGAAGAAATAAAACTAGATCTTGTGTACAATAAATCTTAAGGAATTCATTAAAAAAACCCCACTGGAACAAACAAGTCCAGGAAGGTTGTAGAATACAGATCAATACACAAAAGTCAATTTTATTTCTGTACACTAATTATAAACATTCGAAAAATTAAGAAAATGATTATACTTAAAATAGCATCAAAATGAATAAAATATTAGGCACCAATTTAGCTAAAGAAGTATAAGGCCAATACACCAAAAAACTATACACCACCATTGAAAAAAGGTAAAGAATAGGTAAATAAACGGAAAGATGGCCACGTTCATGGACTGGAAGACAATATTGTTAGGATGGTAATGCTCTCCAAACTGATCTATCGAGTCGACACAATATCAAAACCCGAGCTGGCCTTTTTTTTTCTCTCTCGCAGAAATTGACAAGTTGATCCTAAAATTCATATGGAATTGCAAAAAACCTGGATAGCTAAACAATCTTGAAAAAGAAGGACAAAGTTGGAGAAATTACACTTTACAAAGCTATGGTAGTCAAGACTATGTAGTATTTGCATAAGGACAGACACATAGCTCAGTGGAATAGAATTAATTGAATGAGGGAAAGAATAGTCTTTTAAACAGATGGTTCTGGGACAACTAGATATCCATATCCAAATGAATAAAGTTGAGTTTATATATAAAACCACATAACAATAATTAAATCAAAATGGAGTTTAAAAGAGTAAGGTTTAAAACTCCTAGGAGAAAACATGACCTTGGGTCAGGCAGTGGTTTCATAGATACAATATTATCCAGGGATGACTTTTCCTTCTAAATTCTCTAAGTATGTGTATCTACATGACGGTATGCAAACATCTACACACACGTGCAGGATTATAAACTAAACTGCCCTACACAGTGTCTTCCTGTGCTCATGTAAGCCCTGCTATCACTGCATACACATCTCCAGCATTTAAACGGCTGTCAGTCCACTGACATTTAGGTTGTTTCCAGTTTTGCTATCAGGAACATTTCAGCTGTGACCTTGGTATATGAACATTTCTTCTCATCTGTATATTTTATTAGAACACATTTTCAAGATGTGGAATCACTAAGGTCAAAGGGAAGGAGGTTTTCTAAAGCTTTTCATCACAACAAATAACCCCCAAGAAGTGCCTGCGTATACGAGGGACTGTCACATCCTGCCCGCACCAGGTCACTGCAGAAACTACTTTGTCATGTGACAGTGAAATCAGCACGGCATGGGAGCAGCAGAAGTGATGACTGAACCAGACTGAGAAGATGACTAACGCTCACGGCAACCCAGGAGGGGAGTCAACACCCGCTTCCGCTCTGGTGGCTCCGCGGCCCCGTTGGCGAAGCACCAACAGAAGCTGTTCAGAGCCCGAAGAGCATTCCTACTGGTGGGTGCTCCACCTGCTGACCCCACCCCGGCTCTGCCCAAGCTCGCTGAGTGCTGAGTGCGACGTGCCACCTTTGGGGCTGCTGCACCCCCACAGCCAAGGTGACGGCTCTTGGCGGTAAGATGTCAGGCTGGGTGTCGCACAGGCCTTCCTCCCGGGCAGGACGACACCATCGAAGACCTCTGGTTGGCTGCACATACCTGAAGTTTACGAAGCTGCTTGATGACTTCATCCCTAGCCTTGTTTGCAGCCTCAATTTGAGATTCAAGGTCCTTCAAGTCTATTTCCATTTTCTTCTTTGAAGCAACAGCAAGCGCGCGCTGCTTCCGCTCGTCCTCCAGCTCTGCCTCGAGCTCCCGCACCTAAGAGACAGCACCGCGTGCCGGTCAGACCCGGATCCTGGCACAGAGGACAGGCAGCCTGGCGCCATACAGGGCTCTGGTGACTGCACAGGTCCCCTGCCACCAAGCAGTTACTGTTATTAACAGGAAGCCACAGTAGTGGCATCTTGTTCACAGATCTTTACAAAACACCACCTGGCACACACCATTTCCACCGACTGCTACAAGGCACCTACCAGGGCTGTGTCCCTGATCCCAAGTTCATGTTCCAGGTGATGCAACAAAATGGAAAGAGAGGACCATTTCTTGGGGAAGTTCCCTCCAGGGACAGACACTCAAGCAGCCCGTGGGGAGGCCCAGGTTCCAGGTGCTGAGGTCTCGGGCCAGTACCACGGGGGTGAGCCTGTTGGACAGGATCCCCCAGCCCCGCCAGGCCCCCAGGTAATGCACCCGCTGAGTCCAGAATTCCCCACCCACAGAGGCTATAGCAAGTGTTGTCTTAAGCCACTAAATCTGAGCTAATTTGTTATCTATCAATAAGTGACTAATGTAATAAAATTAGTGGAATGAAAATAAACAACTTAAATATCTAAGAATTGATACCATGAACTCCAAGGGAGTGTCACAATATTCACAAAAATTTTTTAAAGTAAATTTTTAGAAATTTAATGTACATTTTAAAAAGAACATAAATCATAAGTGCCTAACCACTATTTTAGTTAAAAAAATGTAAATATCTTTTTTCTCCTTTAGAGAGTGGTTTAATGAGGACACGTGATTGGAACGTAAGCAATAAGCTGAACCACCTGTCAATGCGTTTAGATTCTTTCCTCACCCGTACTTTTAAGACCCACAGAACATGAATTTACACCATATTCCCCAGAGATTTCACTGAGGGAGGGCTTTTCTATCGATGATTATGCCTTGTAAGCAGCACTGATACTGCCTGAGAACAGGAATTTAATTACATTAAATTGTAAAGAATAAACATGATGATTTGACTCCAGTTAACGTGCTCTAACGTGAGTGAGTGGGGCTTGAGAATGGCCGCACGCCCCCACCCACCTGCTTAATCAGCAGCCGCTTTTTCTCTTCATTCTGCTCGTCCCTGGTCTGCAAGTCTCTCTCGAACTGGGCCTTCATGGCCTGCATGTTGACCTCCAGGCGCAGCTTGGCGTCCTCCGTTGCCTGGAGCTCGTCCTCCAGCTCTTCCAGCTGGGTCCTCATTTCTTCCACCTGCTGCTCCAGGGCCCGCTTGGATTTTTCAAGTTCATGAACCTAAACCAGTGGTGGGCAAACTCATTAGTCAACAGAGCCAAATATCAACAGTACGATTGAAATTTCTTTTGAGAGCCAAATTTTTTAAACTTAAACTATACAGGTAGGTACATTGTTATTAACTTAATTAGGGTACTCCTAAGGCTTAGGAAGAGCCACACTCAAGGGGCCAAAGAGCCGCATGTGGCTCGAGAGCCGCAGTTTGCCGACCACGGACCTAAACCACAGGCGGCATCGAGAGTTGACCCCCAGCAGGGGCGCAGCACGGCCAGTGCCTTCCTGCTTCCAGGCCCCCCAGCGTGGTGGACGGCAGGCACCGGGCCAGCTTCCGGGCCCCCTCGATCCCTCCCTTCCCCTCTGGGCTGCTGCCAGTCCTCGGTCCAGTCTGCCATGTGAGGGACAGCACTGACACCTTTGCTCACACCTGCTCGGTAACCAGCACTTGATTCTCTGGTGACCTGGACGCTGAGAGGTCTTTAAAGCCAAAGAACAATGCAGAGCACGCGGGCCAGAGACGCCTGCCCGCTGCCTGCCTCCCCGCGTCTGGAAGCGGCCCTACAGCACTCCCGCTGGGGAAGGTCATTTGTACTGAAAAGGCACACGTGGGAACTTCTGAATCTGAGGGGGTGTGAGGCCGGGAGGCAGGGCACCGATAGAGGCCGCCCTTCTCTGACGGGATTTCCCCTCAGACCGGCAAGCGCAGGTGCTGCCGCCCCACTTTGGGGTCCGTGCTATGCCGCTCTCGGGGGCAGGTGAGGAGACTACACCACGGGGGCCTCGGTCTCAGCAGAGTCTGGCCCGTCACAGGCTCAACAGAAATGTTTTGGGAATAAATGTGTGACCGTCAGTTATTCTAGAGCAGCGGTTCTCAACCTGTGGGTCACGACCCCTTTGCCGGTCTAACGACCTTTCACAGGGGTCGCCTAAGACCATCCTGCATATCAGATATTCACATTATGATTCATAACAGTAGCAACATTACAGTTATGAAGTAGCAACGAAAATAATTTTATGGTTGGGTCACAACATGAGGAACTGTATTTAAAGGGCCAGAAGGTTGAGAACCACTGGTCTAGAGAAAGTGAATGTGGAGCAAGGAAAGGGAGTGACTGTGGAGCTCTCCTCCACGCCTCACTGTGACCACAGCCGTTCCGACCCCAGGTGGCCTCTCCTGGTCCACGGGCTGGTCCCTGGGCACGAGGCTGTAGGAGACCCGGGAGAGAGGTGGGCAGTCTCCCTCCTTTCCGCTGTGGCCGGGGAGCCCATACCCCATGGAAAGGAGACTTTGTAGAGGACGGTGCTTTGTGAAGCACCTGCAGTCACTTCACTCAACCGGGCAAATGTGATGTGCATTTGACAGGTGAGGAAGCTTAGGCTGAGAGAGGTTCTGGCTTCTGCTGGGCAGACGGACGCTGGTGGGAAAGCCACGTCCTGAACCTGTTTCTGAGTCCTGGGCCCGGGCTCGCTGACTGTCCTCACATTGTACACT